GGTCTAATAAAACGCACAACATATTAAAGCGTCTTTGGTGTTCCCATATTTTCTACAAAACAAAACCGAAAAATCGAGGGGTTATGACGTCATTAGCAGGCGACACAATGACACTATGGAAACGGTCCATGTCACTTGTTAAAATTGCTTATTTCTCTGGATTTAAACATTCTTCGAAACATTTGGGATTGTGTAAGTACACAAGTCAGCAAAATATATAACACTGTTCTAGTGGTTTTTGGATATTTTTATTTAAAAAAATCTTACATATTGTGCCTTCAAGTGAGCTGATAGTAACATTTTGATTGATTGAGTCAAAAGTATTATATTTATATGAGCAAAAATGGTACCAAAAACGTGCTGGTAATATGTTTACGACAAAACAATTTCTTTTCGTGAAAAGCGTTTACTCGAACATAATGGCGTTTTAATAAAACGTCTTCTGAAATGTGTAAATTGAGTTTAGTATAACTCAATGTAAATGCAAATTATATTTACGTTATAAATGAATTTGATTTAAAGAGCTAAATCATGTCTAAAATGAACTGAGATGGTACACATGAAATTACACAAAACGCTTATTAATAAGACTTAAAAGCAAAAAAAGCTTGACAGTCTATGCATTTAATACGCCGCTCCGGGATGCCAGGGATGACGTGATGACGTATTTACGTCCGGACGTGAAAGAATCTCTGAATCTGTTTTTGATCCGGTTCTTTGATAAGAACTGTTCGAATGAACCGTTTCGCGGAAATGAGTCGGATTTCCCATCACTACGCTTGCTACACGGGCGGAGCAGCACTAGCTCGCTCGCCACCTATGCCAACGATATAAATAAATAAATGTATTGCCTTCAAAGCATTGTAATAGCCCCAAGCAGCGCAGTACATTACATCTGAATGTTTTATACGACACTGATTGTATATGAGTAGCTGGTCAAAGAAAGCTAAACGAAAGTACGTGAAGCACAAAGCTAACAGTGTGTTGCTGTCGTCTACTGCTGTGGCTACTAAATTATTCCTGTAGAGATCAGGCTAACGCGGTGCTACTAACCTGGCCATGGAGTCTCACTTTATGTTCTGACATAATTACCACGTGTTTGTGCATTAAATTACTTTAGAGGCATATTTACTATGTGCCAAGTGTTGCATTATTGCCATGCGATTCAGTTCTGGTAGCCTTTCATGGTTACCAACCTGCTAATATGATTGTTAATACTTTAAACACTCTAAATGTTACATTTGCAAAGCACAAATACATACTTTTTGAGCGGATGTATTTAACATTATGATTTTGCACTGATTGGATGGTGTACAGTGGTGTCTCACTGTTTGGAATTTGTTTTGGTGCATTACAGTAGTCTTGCTGAACCTTTCTATAAAAATGTTATTGTTGGAATAGCTCTGTGTAGAAAATGTATATTCCTGATGTGATTTATGTGCATTTATTTCTGTTTTGCAATGTAACAAATCACTTGCAAAGAATCATGCTTTAATTATTAAGTTCCTGCTGTAAAAAGCTTGCCCCCCTGACCAGTCAGTCATTAACTTGACAGACGGCATTTTTGTATAAAGGTTTTTTTATGCACTGGTTTCAGACAGGCTTCTAAAAAGCACCATAAAATTATCTCTAATGATCTAGAACAAATTAAAATGAGCTTTAGACATAACCAAGCAAATATTTAATGTCTGCAGTGCTTATTTCCTTGTAGAAAATGAATTGTAATATGAACAAAAATGTAATTCATGAACTCATTTAACTTAATTTTACTCCACTGGATTCCTTTTTTATTTTTTCTACCAACCACTGAACCACTTATATCCACGGTTCCTGTGGTCTTGAAAAACCTGGAAAGATCAGGGAATTTAAAATTTTTTCAGTCTTGGAATTTATGAAAATGAATAGTTATTTCAGTCAAATTATTTATTTATTTATTATTACTGGGTTGTGGATGTAGCTAGCTTAATTAGTCAGTCTGTTCTTATTCATTTATTTATTTTTTAATTATTATTCATTTTCTCTCTTCTCACAGTCCATGCACACCTGCTGCTTGCTGTGCCATCGGGAGTTTAAAGACTGGGGGGCAGGCCAGGTGAACGGGCTCCCCAGTCATGGGTCCAAACTAGCAGAGGCTGTACCTGCGCTCTCCCAGGCTCTGCTGAGGGAGGTTCCAGGCCGCAAGCTGGCAGACGCCGTGCCTTCGCTCTCCCAGTCACTGTTGGGTGAAGTGCCGCTGTGGATCTGCCAGAGCTGTAGGAAGAGTGTGGAAGAGGAGGAGAGGAGAACGATTCAGGAGCAAACTGCGCAAGTAATTGAGATTAGCTCTGGGGTCATTCATAGAAATTCAGATTTTACGGACTATGGACTGTTTATAGAAACAGTCAAAACAAAAAAAATATCTTTATAACTTCAGAATATGATGAATGTTGTGTTGAATTTTATGTGAAGAAATAAGTTGCGCTTGATAATCTGTAATTTATAAGTTGTACTCTATAGATTTCATTTCATGTAATACAAAATATCAAACCGAGTGGTAAACAAATCATGCTAAAGTTTTTCTGAAAACTAACCTCGCTTTTCTAAACCATTCTTGGTAATTAGTGACTTAACTAGGGCTGCACGATATTGCCTGCAGGCTTTCACATGGCGCAGCATTAACTACACAGAGCCGTTGTTCACCGACAAGCTGCGCAAAACATGCGCAAAATATGATCGTGGTTTTGCGCAGCTTGTCAGTGAACAACGGCTCTGTGTAGTAAATGCTGCTCCATGTGAAAGCCCGCAGGTGATGGAGATTTACCGCTGATTACAGAACCGGCTTTACTGACAAGATGCGCGTTAAATATCGCATGCGATTTATCGTGCAGCCCTACTTTTAACCAATCAATATCGCAGTGATTTTTTAGTGGCTATATGAAGTTGATTCCCCTCAAGGTCATACTGGTGTTCAACAAATGATTTTACAAAGTTGTATTTAAAACAAAAATATTGGAGTGCATTTTACAAGAAAATACAGTTTCAGAATTTCTTCTTAAAATGTCACATTTAATGAAATGTGTTACTCGCCATTTCTTTGTTATAATGAAATTTACTAGCAATTTTTGAGTGAAAATAGTTTATACACCCATTACGTAATTTCATACCTAGTAAACTTTTTTTGTAAATTATTTTCTTATGCTATGTTTCATAAAGATTTAATGGATTTTAATAAAATTGCATGCATTAAAAACGAAATAAAGGTGAAATAAAATTTTTATTAATTCATTAAACATTTTAATATTTTATTATCTAATGCAATGACATTCATATATTAACTAAGTGTGTATCCAAATAATTTTTAGGTCTACTGGACATGCATAGAGTCGTAAGTTGTTACTGTATCAAGTGATTCATTTTTTGGGTGGGCTTATTTTTATTGGAAGATTGCACTAGAATTGCAGAAGATGGTTCATTCAGGTTTGCTGATGTTAAGTTTGCATCCATTCTTTCATTGGATGAAGAACACTGGAACCTCTTCTTTTGACCGGAAAGCTCAGTATGTCATTGAGGACAATCCTGTGTACACAACAACAACAACAAAAATCTGATAGCACTGACATGTCCACAATTTTCCATGCACCTTGTAGATCCCTAACAGTTTCTGTAGATGTGCATTTTGAGGTGTTTTTTGTCACTTGTCTAAAAGATGAATGTGTTGTTACTCAGGTGCTGCTGTCCCACTCGTCCTCGTGTAAGTCTCAGAGCTGTGGGAATGGTTATCCTGAGCATAGCTCGGTGGATTGGGACCCCAGCTCCTTCCTCTCCGCGCGCAAACTGTCTGGCCTGTGGAACTCGGCTCATTCTAATGGAGGATCTCAATGCAACCACAGCACAGCTACGCTTTCACAAAGTATGTCTCTTTTGCTTCATTACACGGTGATTCTAGTTGGTCAGTTGCAGCATTATGCGGCCCTAGATTTTTGTATAATGACCAGTGAATTGACCGTCTCAGGCATTTGATTTTCTACATAACAGTGCTAGTTTCAGCTTTCATATCACTACATAATTTCTTCTTTCTCCTCCAATTATGAACTCAAATCAATGTCATGCTCATTTATTTATTTATTTGGTGTTTAGCTGTTTAATAAGTGGGATAATGTACAGTATTGTGGCAAAATAAAACTCTGCAGGGTTGATATAAGACATGATTAAACTTTTCTTGTATTCTTCTGAGTGGTTTTCTTTAACAGATGTACAAGAAGTATTTAATAGAATTTGGCTGGAGAAATAAGACAGACTGACTGTGTTATTTCTTGTCCTGATAGGCGGAACGGTGGGACCAGCTTGCCATGAGAAGAGATCTTCTCATGACGCTCCCGGGAAGGCTGCCAAAACATTCGGGACTAAAGTCTGTCCCTACAGTCATCCCGCATCCCAGAATTCCAATGTGGCTTCTCCTGGGACACTGTCTGCCTCCACTGATCTATGTAAGACCAACCCCAAGCACTTCAAGACAATGTGTCGACGACCAACTCCTCCAGGTAAGAACACAATTCATGCCACAATATGAAATATGGCCAACGCTTTATAGGTTGTAATTTTTAACATTAGTTAATACATTAGGTATTATGAACTATCAACGAACAACATTTTTTGCAGCATTTATTAATGTAGGTTAATATTCATTTATAAATATACTATTTTTAATTCATGTGCGTTTATAACACATTTACTCATTTTATTTTATACAACTTAAAATGTGAAAAATGTATTTGTATACATTACCGTTTAAAAGTTTGGGGTCGGTAAGAGTTTTTAAAAGGTTTCTCTTATGCTTACCAAGGCTGCATTTATTTGATCAAAACTACAGTAAAAACAATAATACGGTGAAATATTATTGCAATTAAAAATAACTGTTTTCTATTTTAATAAAATTTTAGTGTCATTTATTCCTGTGATGCAAAGCTGAGTTTTCTACAGTCATTTCTCCAAGTCCTCAGTGTTACATGATCCCTCAGAAATCATTCTAAGAGGCGCATTCGGTGCACAAGAAACATATCTTACTCTTATCAAATATAATAAGTCCATAATAATACGATTCATGAGACTTTATGCATTATCTAATGTTATCAAATGAAAGAGTTACCAAAATGTAATTTACCACTTTGTTTAGCTGATTTTACATACAGTATCAGACGTTGTTTTTAATCTCAATGTTTCTATTGATAGAATAGAAAGATAATAGATTAAGGGGTTGAAGTGCTTGTTCTAATTTTAGCGCAGTGTTGCAGTAGAAGGACTGAAGGAGATGGTGTGGGAGAATATGTATTAGAGGTGCAACTATATACCAATGCCACAGTTCGGTTCATATTGCGGTTTTGGAGCCACAGTTCAGTTCGGTTCTGTTTGCTGTGGGGGTCAGGTTCATGGCATGGCACCAGCAATGCTAAAACACACTAGTAGATTCACTTTTAAATAATAATAATAATAATTGCCTTAAAAAAAAAAAGCCTAAATAATGCAAACAAGTCATTGGACAACATTACTTAAGCTACATATAAAAATGCATTTGCCATGGATAAATAAAATGGAATAGTCGGACAATAAGGAAATGATTTTATAGCTATTTTCATGCTATAGTGCATAAATGTTTGCGGGAATTTCCCACTTTATAATCGCGAAACCTGTGGGAATGTGTAGAATTATGCACAATGCCCGTAATCCGGCAGCGAAACACGGCAAACTCTAAAAATTCACAGCGTTTTATTATAATAGTGTTCTCATTATAATGTTATGTATATGAGAGTCATAGTTATTAATATTCTGCATTGAAGAGATAATCACCATAGTAGGCCTACAATGAAGCGCTTTAGTGCAGCATAACTCAGCCAAATGCATCTTATATGAGCTTTTAAATTTACACTATGTCCCAATGTGACAAGTGTCAGACTACAATAAAAAGGAAATGTTGCTGTAACAGTCACATCCAATCAGAGCATTTCGATGTTTAATTAACTGTAAGGTGAGATGATGAACCAATGAAGTTTCAATGGGCTGTACCACTGGACGCAACAAAAATAGAAACAAAGCGACCGATAAAATGTCCCGTTGCCAAGATACAGTATGTGCAAACTTGAAACTAAATAGACATCACCTAAACTACTAAATAACTAAGAATTAAAATATGCTATTTTCTACAGGTGAGGCGTTCCACCCAAATGACCACCACCAAGCTGCAGACCTGTCAGTGCCGCCCAACAGTCCTACAGGTCTCTCATCCCAGCATTCCTCGCTGCTGCCTCCTAAGCAAAACTCCAGTCAGCATGTTCACATCAACTCCACTAGTTCGGGGCTGCCTTCGCACGCTCCCTTCTCCCCGCTGGTACCAAACATTCACGCTCCTGCAGCTAAGCACTCGAGTGGGGCGGACAGTCCGGTGGCCCTACACAAGCCCAGCGGCTGCAAGAACTCCCACATTCCCGCTGTTAACGCACAACACAGCAAACTCAGCAACTCGCTCATAGGGTGCAGTCACCCGTGCAACGGTCACAGTAACGGCAGCTCTGTAGCCTCCTCCAATGCTGGCCATCTAACGTCTGGGGGATGCAGGTGAGCATCGGTGGACATACAGTGAGCATCGGTTGTTTTTATTGCTTAATATTTCGGTGCGTTGTGTATTTCTGTATAAACAGGGACCAAGCGTGTAAAGGGCACAAGTTGCCCAACGGGTCTTTGTGTCACGCCCCACCCTGTGAGCTTGAAGAAGGAGATGATGAGGACAGTAGCTCGGAGCGCAGCTCTTGTGCTTCCTCCTCCACCAATCAGAAGGACGGGAAATACTGTGACTGTTGCTACTGCGAGTTCTTTGGCCACAACGCGGTATGTTTTCTTTTAAAGGGTTTCTGTGGGCCTTAAAAAGGTTTTAGTTCGCCATTGCACAAATGAAGACCTTAAAAATTTCTTAAATCTGAGCAGGAATTCTTAAATTCATAAAGTCATGGCATTAAATGTTGCATGCACTGCAAAAAATGAATATCTTCCTCAGTGTTTTGTCTTGTTTCCCAATACAAATATCTCAGCATCCCTAAATCAAGATATATTTACTTGAGATACAAAATGAAGATATGTAGTCTTGTTTTCTGAGAAATTTAATAAAATTAAGTGAATTTATACTTAAAACAAGATAATATAAGGAATGAAATCTTGTTCTCCCTTTACATGAATGTCATTTGTCTGAGCCCACTAAAAGATATTTGTTCTTGTTTTAATAAACTTACTTCATTTTAATGAATTTCCCAGCAAACAAGGTTTTCAAATGTTTCTTGATTTAGAGGGGTCATGGGGCCTTTTTTATTATTTTGTACTGTTCTCTGAGGTCCACTTATATAGTTATCAAGATTTTTACATTAAAACATCATAATTTAGAAGTAATAGGCTATTTAAGTAATAGGTTCCATTTGAATAGGCGTGGTGGATTGTAGACTCGGAAGTAAACGCCCACTGCTATGATTGGCTAACAGTTGTGTATGTTTGACAGCCTACATCCTTCATAGATGGACGATGCTGTGATTTAGGTAAAAAACGCATTAATACTCATAAACACATAAGTACATATCAAACGAACTGTAATAACAGACAAAACAATAGTGACCACATAATAAAAACAGCTACTCACATTTGTGATGAGCGACATTACTGTCGGATCCAATATATTTGGCACAGCATCATCTTTCTGAAAATCCTGTGTCGAATTGTCTTGTTTGTAAACAAATCCACAATAAAATGAAGTGAACAAAGGACCAAGTTCTTACTGACGCGGTCTGGAACTTCGTTAAAAATATTTCATCCACTCTTTCCTAATGTTGGGATCAGAAGGAAGACAATGCAAAGACTGTGTTTTTCCGCAACTTGGCACTGCACAGCATCTTGTTTTCTTCTGAGCATCTTTATCATTTGGTTTCTGCGTAGACCTACGTTTATCTCCCTTGTTATGTACACTACATGCGTGAATCGGTGGGCGGGGCTAAATCGGCAGTGATGCAGAAGCAGGTGTTGATCTTCTTCTGCGGAGGCGGGGTTTAGCCACACTATTACGTCATAAAATGGCACATTCTAAAACCTGTCATTTTGGCAGATTGGCTTAAATATAAGCTGTTTTTAGACTAACAAGAAAGTTTTGAGTTCTGAAACTTACAGGATGTTTTTGTAGTACAAAGACCTCTTATATGCCAAGACTCCCTGGAAGAAGAGATTTTGCATCTCAATGGGACTATCCTGGTAAAATAAAGGTAAAATAAAAATAAAATAAAAATGTCAAGAGATCAAGGAATTTTGAATTTTGAAATTTGCAGTGTGATCATAAGGTACAGAAAAAAATAAATCCATATTCTAGTGGTTGGAAGCAGAGGTATTCAAGCCTTAAAGGGGTCATATGATGCGATTTCAAGTTTTCTTCCTTGATTATTACGCTGGAATGAGAGTATAGTTCCTAGCCATATCGGCCTAGAAAATCGCAACTTTTCATTTTCCGTCAGTCTTAGTACACGATGTAACTACAGAAGAGTCAAGTTTTAAATAGGAAAAATATAGAAACTCTTTGGTCATTTTTGAGGGAGATGCTAACTGTCTAATCAGATTCAATGATCTATGCTAAGCTACAGCTAAAAGTACTACCGCCACACCGGAGATCGGCTGAATGGATTAAAAAACGGTAAAACTCAACTATTTAACTTTAGGGGAGTTGGAAAATTAGCCTATTTTCAAAAATAGTGGAGTGTTCTTTTAAGCCATATTTGTGAAATGAATGAAAAAGTAAATGAGGTTGTATTTTAAAACTTTTTTTACAACAAAGACATTTTGCTAATACAATTCATTTTGTGCTCCCTAGACAGTTATATTTTGAGAACATATTGCCTAATGTGTTCCCTGCAATTTATTTCCTAAATTTTCTTTACTTGGTCTTAAAAAGGCCTTAAACTCTTATTTTTCTTTCTGTTTACTTCCATAAACCTGCAGAAACCCTGTCCTAATGTTCCTTCTTTAATGTTTAGTCATTGCACTACACATTATGTTTGCGTTTTGTCTACCATAACTACAATTATTTGATTTCCTCTGTACAGCCCCCGGCCGCCCCCACCAGTCGGAACTATGCTGAGATCAGGGAGAAGCTTCGGTCCAGGCTGACCCGCCGTAAAGAGGAACTTCCTCAGAGGCAGGATCTAGATCCGGCAGCACCGAGTGCCATAGACCATCGAGACGTGGACGAACTCCTGGACTTCATCAACAGCACAGAGCCCAAGCCTGTCAACAGTGCCAAGGCTGCAAAACGGGCACGGCACAAACAGAAGAAAAAGGTGCACTGTTCGTTTTCCAATTTAGTTTTGTGTATAAATGTCCGGAAAATAGATAATTACAGCTGTCATTATTTCTGGTTCATTTGTTACATCGGAAGTGTAAGATCCTGAATTCTGAAAAAAATAAAGAATTCAGAAAAAAATAAATAAGCACCAAATCAGCATATCAGAATGATTTCTAAAGGATCAGGTGACAATGAAGACTAGAGTAATGGCAGCTGAAAGTTAAGCTTTGCCATCAGAAATTACAAAAATATTTAAAATAAGAAAATACATTTTAAAAATACACTACTGTGCAAAACTCTTAGGCCACTAGTATTTTCAACAACAACAAAAAAATGTTTTTAAGTGAGTTATTTCTATATTTTGCTGTAGTGTGTCAGTGGGAAATATCAGTTTACGTTACCAAACATTCTTTTTGACAAAAATTGTGATAATGCACTGAGATTTTTGTATGCACAAGGAGTCTGACAACAGCCAGTGCTCCACACAGAGATCTGATCTCATCATCATCCAGTCTGTCTGGAATGACATGAAGAAACAGAACAAACTGAGACAGACTAAATCGAAAGAACTGTGGCAACATCTCCTAGATGCTTCAAGAAACCTACCCAAAACCTATATGGACCAAATATGACCAAAATAAAATTGAATAATACGCTTAAAATATTATTTCAAATTTCTGTTTCAGTTAAGCCACTGTTGTAATGATTTCTAACGGGCTTCTGTTTCAAGATTTTACCTTTTTTAATCTCTGCCCTCTTTGATTTCCAGAAATAGTTTATTTTGAAGCCAACTTGCTTATTGCATTCTTTATGCAAATGCAGCATTTTACTCTTCCAACTTTCAAAAAAATTTGTTTGTGACTGATTTCTCAACAATCTTCATCAGGAGAAGGAGAGGGCTCTTCAGGTCAGCGTCGAGGCAGCCAGCAGTGAACCCCGGTCGGCATCTCCCCCCGACCCCGCAGATGATTCAACTCCGGACGGGGAAGCAAACAGACTGCTGGAGTGGCCTCAGTTGGAGCTGGAGCGAGTTAACAGTTTCTTGACCAGCCGTCTGGAGGAGATCAAAAACACCATAAAAGACTCCATCCGTGCCTCCTTCAGCATGTACGACCTCAACCTGGACGTCAATGACTTCCCAAAGAAGGCGGCGACACTGGAAGGAAACCATCTGCTGTCTCACCTCAACGGATCTTCTGATCTGCAGCAGATAGACTTGGATCTGGCACCGCTCTCACTGAGGAACTTCAAGAGAGACCTGGATATAGTTAACGGTTGGGAGGACACCACCACTGCAGCCAAAGACATCCAGAGGCTTCACTCCACGCCAAGTCTTTCCAAGCTCATCCGTGTGCGGTCACCAGAACGAAGCCCTGCCACGGGTTCAGAGTCCATCCAGCCTGGCACTGCATCTGCGGCCAAGTCCAACGATGCGGTCCTCGAAACCAAAACCACAAATGGAGCTGGATCCAAGGCAAAGAAGGGTAAGAAACAGCAGAATCAGAGGCACCAGGAGCAGGCGACTCAGGAGCAGGTGTCCAGTACGAAAACGGCAAAAACTGAGATGCACAAAACGCAGGAAACAAGGGCAGCTGATTCAGATAAAAACACCAAAGGTGGATCCAAACAGAACCAGCAGCAGGCAGACTCGCAGAAAACAGGAAATAAGAGAGCAGAAGAGGTCAAAGCTTGCAAGCAGTCATCCAATGGAGCCTCAAACGGTCACCATAATACAGGGTCTAACACGCAGAGGGGGAAGAATGACCTCTCGGACGCACGGGGAAACAGGTCGGAGTATGATATAGACACTAAAACCACCTCCAATGCTCCCAGTTCACAGCAGCAAGCACAGCAACCGAAGGGAAAGACTAAAAATAAGAGCAAAAACAAGATGGAAAAATCAAATAACACAATCGGTAAGTGACCATTGGGCAATAGCAAGTTGGTCTGATCTTGTAGGTCTGTTGCATCAGACCAGTTTACAGCTCTTCATCATTTTTTCCCCTTCTCCCTGATAGATGATGTGTTCCTTCCCAAAGATGTCGACCCTACAGAAATGGACGAGATTGATCGTGAAGTTGAATATTTCAAGAGGTAAAGTCCAGTCATTACCAAAGACAAACTGCTCTGTGCATTAGTGGTGTTTGACAACAAGCATCACTATTAATATCATTGATGTTTGTATTTAAGAAATATCAGTATTGTTCCAGTGAGATTTCACTGTCAGTGGGGCTTACCAATGCAGATATAGAAATGGCATAGAATGGCATAGAGATGTAAAAAATATCTTAATTTGATGCTTAACATTTTTTTAATATCTCAATTTTTTTTTTAGGTTTTGTCTTGACTCTGCTAAACAAACCCGACAGAAGGTGGCTGTGAACTGGTCCAACTTCAGCCTCAAAAAGATGCCCTCAAATGCAGCTCAGTAACAGATGGGTGATGGTAAACAGACCCCCTCCCCTCCCCTCCCAGCAAGACTGTACTAAAAACCAGTTTGGCCTTTGGTTACTTCACTCAACATCTGATCGGCCTAAGGTTTCTCCCTCTCACAGCTCTTTCTGCCTCTATGCCACGGGACCTTGATTTTGACCACCAGTCATCAAACTCGTTTTCATTTGACCTGTTGTTCACGGGGGATCACACTGCATCCTGACCTCAGTCTGAAAACTTGCATCTTGTTATCGCTAAAACACGTTTGGGTACTGATTCAGTGCATCTACATGCTTTATATGTCATATGTACACAGTTGTTTTACAATAAAAATGTTTTAAATTTACAACAATGGTGCGGTTTGACCCATCACGCTTTTTTCAGCTGTTCATGTGTTTTAAAAGGTACTTCTACGGTTGCACCATCATGCATTTTTGCAGACTCCACTCACCTTGCAAATATACTGTATTCTTAGAATAGATGCGAAAAATGTGGGTTTTTTGATAATACAAAATTCGAATTGCTGTATCATGTCTGATTGTCATAACGGAGGTAAAAAGGCAGCAAGGACTGTTGTGTTCACTGATGTGTTTTAGTTTGCAGAACTGTCCATGTGAAATACAAAGATCTGGATAGATTATGCTACACCCATGTAATTTCGCAGTCGACTTTGTAAGGCCAAGTGCAGCTGTGACAGTTTATATGCACAAAAAGTGAACCGTGCACATCGACTTTGTTGTCTTTTAGAACAATGAGAACATCAGTACCTATGCTTACAATGTATGATGTTGTGAAACTGTTTTGTTTTATTACTTTGGACGTTTTTAAGAAAAGAAAATGGAATCAACACTAAAAAACACTGATTTTAAAGACCTGTATCCGTTGACTGTGTCACTTTTACACAGAATCTAAGGTTGAGCAGATGAGCTGTTTCCTTTGCATGATGCGTGAAAACTGACAAGTATAGGCAACTACAAATCTCTCCCTTGTCCTTCAACTCTGTATGGAATGCTGTTCCAAACTGACTGTTGGCAAAATTCCCTGATTCCCAGACCGAAATCTTATGGTAGTATCCCTGCTGATCCTCCCGTGTGGTAGTTTGGATATAGTTCTGTGCAGTGACCACATTCTCAATGCTGTTGTTGTGAGTTTCAGTTTGTAGTAGGTTCTCCAGCAGTGCACCCTTGTTTTGGCTGCATGATGGTATCAGACCTGAATTTATGCATCCAAGACCCTTGCAGTAGTTCTGCTTGTGTAGTTTCAGTCCACTGGTGCGTAACCAGACCTGTTCAGAACTGTTTTCATTCGTTACATTTGCAATCGCATTTTACGCTGATTTAAAGGGTGGTACAGCGCTTGTAACATCTGGTGGCCCTTGCCATAGCTTTGTATGTCTGCGTCATAGTTTTTTACACCTGTATCCCTGAAGCTGAGCCCCTTCTGGTAAAAATCCCAACTACAGATATGACACTTAAAAAAAAAAAAATTTAGGGTCTCTGGGTTTATGATAGAGTAAATCTCCTTTGAAGGACTGAGATCTCTTGAGAAATCCGTTTTGAGTTTTTGTTTTCATATTTTTCCGACATCTTTGACTCTATCCAGGTTATATTAAACTAGAAAACATCTTAAACATTTGGAATGTAGATTTATACTATACCGTTAATGGCCAAGTGTATGTTGGCTTCCTGTTTTATTTTTTTTATTGTTATAATTATTATTATTATTATTATTATTATTATTATTATTCACTTTTGATACTGTGAAAATCTTTCATGCCGAAAGATTAAAACATGACAGTTTTGAGAAAAAAAAATGTGTTGTGTTTGCTTTCTAAACTTATATTTTGGTAACATGCAAATGTGGTAATATAAGAAACAGCATAAATGGAATGAAAGATTAAAATAAGAGTATTCCGTTTTTGCAGTCCCAGCCCAATCCCAGAATCTTTGAGAATGAGAATGGGTAACTGCTTTGGTCACCATTCACTTTCAATGTTTTTTTTTTCTTCCAATGCAAGTGAAAAATGACTGAGGCACATTCTGCCTTGTTTGTTCCACAGAAGAAAGAAAGTCATACAGGTTTGGAACAATATCATGGTGAAAAATATGGACGATTGTTTATTTATGGTGAACTTGTATATATTTTTTTACATCTCCGAAATACTTTAATTTCTTTAGTCCCTTTTTATGGAGGACGAAACCTGCAAAAACAATAAATAAATACACAAATAAATAAATAAATGTGTGCATAAATACACGTATTCTTGTTTAAATACATAAATAATTATACATGTGATGAAAGTAGGCAAATAAATAATATAAATTGGTTGGCAAATGGAAAATGTTTAAGGAAATGCTAAACTCATCCTAACTATTTTCCGTTGATCACTCATTTATTTCTGAATGATAGCATTTCCTTAAACATTTTCCATTTGCCCACCAATTTATTTTATTTATTTGCCTATTTTAATCACATGTTTAATTATTTCTATATGTATTTAAACAAGAATTTGTGTATTTATACAGACATTTATTTATTTGCATATTTATTTATTTATTTGTGTATTTATTTATTTATTGTTTTTGCAGGTTTCGTCCTCCATACCTTTTGGGCCACCGTAGTATACGTAACCTGTATGTACGTCACGCTTCCGTTGAGCAGCAGCAGCGTAACATGCTAGCTAGTATAAACAATGCTTGTTTGAGTGTAATGTAACATTTATCTGACATTTATGTACTAAATACCATCGCTAAATTATAACCCTAAAGCCAGTAACGTAAAGCATCATGGAAACGGAAAACCGACCCAAAAAGGTGAGTTTTACGAATATAAACGCATCTTATTAAAGTCAATATTCGAGCAACATATTTAACTACATTCACTATATTAAACATATGATTAAATATATCTCGTTAAGATTTTTATGCACAGGTGTGGTACATGTTATGTAAAATAAAACGACGTTTTGGTATTTTATATAGCGATTTAAAATGTGTCGAAATTAAACAGACGTCTGTGTGTATCAGCTATGTTTTAGATAATTTATGTATTAATCTGTACTAACTTAACCTGCACTATTGTAAATAATATAAAACCGTAAGAAGAGAGTATGTGCGTCTGAACTGCTGTATAACTTCATGTGATGCTGTATGCCGTTTGTGTTATATATGTAATGATTTGTGACTTTTATGTAATTCTCAGAGAAACTATGAGAAGTCTGGATCAGAGGCCTCGGAAGATGATGACTATGTGCCATATGTTCCTGTTAAGATCAGAAAACAGCAGATGGTAAGCAACCTCTACTAAGATTACAGCATGGCCATTCATTTTCATGAAAAGTGTGTTTTTGTTTCCTGTGGCAGCTCTGTGGTTCACCACCACTGTCTGCTGTATGTCACACCGTGATTTTTGAGGAACTATATTTCTCTCTTTTGCTAACATAAGTCTGAGCATCCTAAGTATCACATATGTTTATTTGATGTGACCCTCAGCTCCAGAAGGTGATGCATTTCCGTGGGAAAGGGCTCACAGAGGAGGAACAGAAAGATAGTAGTGGAGAGCAGAAAGATGAGGATGAGGGTCTCGGTCCCCGATCCAATGTCAGTCTGCTGGACCAGCACCAACACCTCAAGGAGAAAGCTGAAGGTCTGTTTTTCATTACTTATTATGTCTAATGCAGTGGGTCTCAATCAGAGTGTCAATATAGGTCAATTAAGCAACCACAATTCATTGTATGATTCTAGATGTTTCCAAAAAAAAAAAACAGTTATTGAGGCGAAAAAAGAAATATGATTTAGGTTGACATCTTGATAGTATTTTTTAGCAAGTTTAATTAAGTTCATTAAGATTATTATTATATGTTATATTATTATATATTATTACATTAATAATATATTAATGTAAATAATTTTAAGTCATACTACAGCCCCCTTGAAAATGTGCTGAGGCCCCTTGGTTGAGAACCACTGGACTAGTAGAACTTCATAAAAGTGTTTGGACAGTAATGGAAACGAACTCAATTGTCTCTGAAGCATCAGTGATTTTGATTTTCAGTTATGAATATTTGTAAGTTGAGTATTTTTTAGTAAGTAACCTTTAGAGGCGTTTATCACATGAATACAGTTGTATAGTTTGTCTAACCTATGTGTGAAAAATCTAGGATTCAAAGTGTAATTTAAACCTGAAAATACATAAAGATCTAGTACATTGAGGAATTTTCAAGAAAGAAATTTAGAGATGTAAATGAACAATTGTTGAAGATTCTGCACTATTTCTAGGCTACTTCTCAAATAAGCTAAATTATACTGATGGTGTTTTTGTAAAGAAAACATTAATTTTTCTTGAGTGGTCTTGGGTATGTTTTTTTTTTTTTTCCATTTGTTATTTATTTTCAAATTGTACATTAATAATTGTAGCTCGAAAGGAGTCTGCCAAGGAGAAACAATTGAAAGAGGAAGAAAAGATTCTGGAGAGCGTGGCCGAAGGCAGAGGTAAGCAAAAACAGAATCATTTACCAAGTTCTTAAATTTATAGGTCAGAAGTATTTAATAAAGTCATAAACATGCATCTTTCCTTATCTTTATCAGCTCTAATGTCTGTGAAGGAAATGGCCAAAGGTATCACATATGAAGACCCAATAAAAACAAGGTGAGCTGCCTTTAACTCTCCTTTGTTTAACTCTTATTTGACAGATCAGTTGTAGGTTTTTCACAAATAAAGACAACAGCAATCAACATCTGATTTTCTCTTCAGCTGGAAAGCGCCACGTTACATTCATGGCATGCCAGCAGCGCGGCATGAACGTGTACGGAAGAAGTACCACATTCTTGTTGAAGGTGAAGGCATTCCACCACCCATTAAGAGCTTCAGAGAGATGAAGTTTCCTCAGGGTAAGATCCATCTCACCTCTTTTACATGCAGCACCTCACTCACAGCTTCACACTAATGGCACGCTCTCAACTTTAATGGTCTTTGCAGCCATCCTTAAAGGACTGAAGAAAAAAGGAATCATTCACCCGACACCCATTCAGATTCAGGGAATACCAACCACGTGAGTCGCAAGGCCATGGCATGGTTTCGCTTGGGCCAATATTCAGGCATTATCATACAGCGTCAGGTGGTCAGATGGTTTTAGCTTTTTGTTCTTTAAAAAATTTGCAAATTAATAAAACGCATATCTTGAATTTTAATACAAGTATTTAATCATTTTAATATTCTCATATTACTGTGATATATTTATGATACTGTATATGGGTCAAAGACGAAAAGGGGTTTAAGCATAAAAACAATAAGTGTAATACTGCTTTAAATTGTTGTTGTTTTTCCCAAAATAAATTGAAAAAAATTCTGTTTAATTTAATTGCAATTTTGTTTTTGTTTTTCTGAGCAAAAAATAAATATCATACATTTTCCCCTGATTTACAGAAGAGACCCACTAAAATGTCATTCAGTGTAACAATCTTGCCATGCATATTTACAACAATCAATTTATGACATATTAAAAGACTAATTACTTTCACCCCAAATACTAATTTGTTGTAATTTTTTAAAAATTTTAAATTTGCCACTATCCTAGGTTTTGCCCATTTGTCAGTAAGAATTTTTTACTCATTTAAAACACAATCAAATTTAATATGCTCCCTTATTCTTTTATATATTTTAATATGTACACGTCAGAATAAGCATGTTGTTTGAATTTTTACATAAATATTGTGTTACACTGAATGACAATGTAACATTATTTCAACCAAATTTTATTCTAAATTAATCACATTTTATTCTCCAAAAACTTATTTGAAACCTTAAAAGTAGACACTTTACTTACATTTAATGTGCTTTCTATGGACATAAAATCACTTTTGTAAATTTATTTTGATGCGGACATCTTAATGTCTTTGACCCATATATAAATCGTTAGAATTTATTAGGTAATAAAATGTTAATGTTAAGGTGACTGTCAGTTAATGTACATATGGCAGAAATGGACGGAAAAATTAATTAAAGATGTTATCAAACAGACGATGAACACTATTAACAGCAGTTATTATATGATGCAATCAAACTTATAGCAAAATTTGGTAGTTCTGTATGTTGTTTCAGGGTTGGCAACGTAACATACATTATATATATATATAATTTGTTTTTTTTATTTTTTATTATTATTATTTATTTATTTGAATTTGTTTGTTTGTTTAGTCTCTCTGGCAGGGACATGATTGGCATTGCTTTCACCGGCTCAGGGAAAACTCTGGTTTTCACGCTGCCCATCATTATGTTTTGTCTGGAGCAGGAGAAACGGCTACCCTTCTGTAAGAGAGAGGGACCCTATGGCCTCATCATCTGCCCTTCTGTAAGCCTACTCTGTCTCTGGCACATCCTGTGTCGTCTGCCAGAAATACAGCAGAAAAATGAGAAGCAGATTACCTATGTGTAACAAAACTATTTCACCATATTTCATCATATAAATCATAAGTCAGGAGGCAGACAGTACAGGCACCAGACAGCAACAGTATGGTCATTTATTTATTGTGTGTCTTTCTCTCCATCTGTAGAGAGAGCTGGCGAGACAGACACATGGTATCATTGAATATTACTGTAAACTCCTAGAGGATGAAGGGGCTCTTCAGTTGCGCTGTGCCCTGTGTATTGGGGGCATGTCTGTCAAAGAACAGATGGAGGTGG